GAGAGAGGAGAGAGGAGAGAGGGAAGTAGAGGTAAGGAATAGAGTAGGAGAGAGAGAAGGAGCAGAAAGAGGAGAAGGAGAGAGGAAGGGGAAGTAGGAAAGAGAAAGGAGAGGAGGGATGGTAGAGGGAAGGAAGGAGTTAGGGAGGAGGAGAGAAGGAGAGGAGGTAGCGCTGCAGGGGAATAAGGTGTAATGTGGTGTATGGAAAGCAGAAGAGCACATGAGCCTTGTGGGTGAGAGGAATTGATATAATATTGAATAATGCATAACAGTGTTTGTTAAGATGTAATGGCATACTTGTGGATATGCATATGAAAATGAAAATAAACTCCCCCCCCCCCAAAAAAAATCTGGGTCCTCATTTTACCGACCTCTAGTCCCCATTTAAAACGCAACCCTTGACCAAATAGGAATTTCTCTCTCTCCAGTTGGTTCCCGCTAAAAAGCAAAGTTCTCCAACTTTGGCAACTTTTAAGACTTGGGGACCTCAACTCCCAGAATTCCCCAGCCAGCCGGGCTGCGTTGGAATTTCTAAGAGTTGGCGTCTACAAGTCTTAAAGTTGCCAAGGTTGGACCCTGGTGTGTCCGAGAGCCAAGGCAGGAAGGCTAAACCGAGAGTGCGAACACATGTGCGCCCAGAGGATGTGCAAACTCCAGCGCTCTTTCCTTCATCCATCAGCCCCTTGGCAGAAAATACTTGTGCAGTGATGTCTCTCCGTATGCGCGCATGTTTATGTTCCAGGCAGGGAGGCGAAGGAGAGAACTGGACCTTCCCAGGGCCGTTTTTGATTAGGAGTTAATCTGATGTGAGCTCATTCCTCCTCGCGAGGAGTCCGCCTGAGCTAGCCCCTCTCTTCCCCACCCGGAGAAGGAACGCCGCGTTGTAACACAGATGATCTCCTCCGAGGTTTCTCTCGCCTGTTTTTCGTTGGACGTCTGCGCCTTTCAGGCTCTCCCCCACACACCCCGCACCCGTTGCAACGGAGAGGAAGAAGAGTGGGGGAACCTTAACTCTTTCCCATCCCTTCTTGGCCACCCCCAAGCCAGCTTTTGGCACAATCACCAGCATTGTTTGGGAAAGAAGGGAAGGAAGTAGAGAGAGAGGGGGGGGGCGTCCAGGGAATCGCAGCTGGGATCAACGGGACAGCTGCTCCGCTTGGAGTCACCGGGGGACACCCCCTCCCCCCCCAGCTATGCCTTGCGCGCTCGCTCTCCCCTCTTCCGACAGCCGCCCAGAACAGGCGCTGGCTCGCCATCCTCCGCTCACCTGCAGCTGGTCCAGCGCGGCCCCGGATTCGAGGGGGCGTGGATAGCAGCTGGCCAAGCCTCTAGCCCGTCCCCCCCCCCCACCTCCCGCCTGGAGCGAAGCGCTCTTAAAAGGCAGGAGCGCGACGGGGCGCTTGGGTTTCTCTTTGGCTCGGGCGGTGCGTCTTGCGAGGCGGAGAGCATCCGGACCGGCTCGGAGAGAGAGAGAGAGAGAGAGTGTGTGTGAGTCGTGTGCGGGGATGGCAGCGCTTAACGGAGCCCTGGAGAACGGGCAGACGGAGAAGAAGGCTGCTGGGCCCCTCCCTCACCCGATCAGGAACTTGGAGGTCCAGTTTACCAAGGTAGGGTTGGATGCGCGGCTCGTTAGGTTCACACAACTCGCTCCACTCTGAGCGCTCGCATCTGAGTTAACCGGCTTGAAGGAGAGGGGGGGAGCCTGGAATCGATTCCTGGGGCTCGTGGGCTGACCCACCCGCCCACGAAGGCTTCCACAAGTGGGGCGAATGCAGAGAATGGGTTAATTCAAAAATCAGGTGTGACTGCGCACGTGTGGGCTGAGGTTTTTTTTTTTTTTTTCCTTTTAGGGTTGTGTTGCTTAACTATCTTTTAAGTAAGACCTTTTTTTTTAATGGAGAGTTTTGAAGTTTCAGGAGGTCGTTCGTTCGTCTCTTTTTTTCAATGAACGCTTTCTAAGCGTTTGGAAAGCCAGTTTGGTTAAGGCGCCACGCTAAACACCAGGAGACCGTGAGTTCTAGTCCTGCGCATAAGCAAGAAAGCCAGCTGGGTGACTTTGGGCTCGTCCCGTGGCTCCCAAACTTTTTTTTGGCCATGCCCCCCCCCCCCAAGCATCTCTAAAATCCTGATGCCCCACCTCCACCCCTGTGACATGTGAGTCTTACTTTACTCAAAAAGGCAACTCTATTCACAGGGAGGAAACCTAAAAGACCATT